AAAGTTCAAGGGGGCCGAATACTTTTGCAAGCCACTGTACAAGTGGAAATGAGCTTCATCCAAAGGTTTTCTGGGATCCCACTTAAAGATGAGGTCAGGGGCTCAGTCATTGAGTAGAGGCTCACAATAGTCTGTCTATACATCCTCACTAGGACTCCTCCTGGATACTTCTTAGGTGAGGTGTTTCAGGCATGTCCTACCAGGAGGACACCCGGGGGCACACTGGAGAGATAATGTCTTATGTCTGGCTTGCCTCACTGTGCCCCTGGAAGAGCTGGAGGAGATGGCTGGGGAGAGAGAGAAATCCTGTTATCTTTGTTTAGACTCTTGTTCAAACAGCTCAGATTCATGTAAGTGGTAGAAAATTGATGAATATAACCACCCAACCAGCTAAATATAAGAAGAAAATGAAATATGAATGCAAAAGAATCTATGCATCTATCTATACATAGTAATCTTTTAATGGCAGTATAAAAAAATGAAAACAGATGTAAACTTTAGCTCATGTTCTTTTTTCAGTCCTGAGTGTGTCAGTACATTTAACAGGTTTATCTGTCAATCTTGGCATGTACATTTTTCTCAATTGAAGATTTTAGAAGTGACAGAAAACTCTTACAGACAGAAGTATTCTGCTTTTAAATATAGTCCCGGATAACGTAGCGAGTTGGCAGGTGTGACCTGAAACCTTGAAACGCACCTTACGACTCTTTACTCATTCTATGATCTTCCTTCTTTTCTTGGCTCCTTGTTGCCGAGGTGACATCAACATAGCCATAGCAATGAGTATTGACGCGTGAAATCTACCTGTCTGGTATAGCAGTAATTACTTATCTGTCTTGGGAAGACTGGGAGTGGGGATGCACCGAGAGACGGGCAGATGCTGTCAGAAAAGGAGGAAAATTGGTGTGCAAATGGAAATGAGGGATAATTTTACAGACGAGAGCAAGATCAGAGGGGAAAAAAACAACTACGAGACAGATGGAATAGAAACGAGTAAGAGGTAAAAAGATCAGGACGTTGTGAAACAGAAAATAAGTTAGTGGGTTAATGGTGTGTAAAGGATATATCTGTTTGTCTTGATGTCTGTGTCAAAAAGATAGCAGCCCACTGTAATACAGTCTTCAGGATTTATCTGCAGGCAGAAGGTTTCTGCCAGGCACACGGCCAAAGGTGGTCTGATGATAGTACACCAGGATCATTTTCTTTGTGTCCCAGGCGGAGCTGGAGCTGGAGTCTTTAAAGAAGCAGCAGGCCTCTGCTACTGACAGCAACTCTTTACTGACCAAAGAAGAGGTCACCATTCTCAGGTGGGTTGACCTCAACTTGTTGCAATGAAAAATTCATGACTAGACATATAAAGGATTAAATCACTAATGCCTCACATGCATGCCTGAGCAGAGCTATGCGCCTAACATTAACCTGTTCACTCAGTGACATACATGGTCACATCTTTGCATGTTAGGCGTTATTAAACAGTGTATGTGCATGCATTTTTTTTTCTCAGACAGAAAATTGAAGATTTAGAGAGAGAGCGGCAACGTTTGGAGGAGCAGAATAACATTCTGGAGATGAGACTGGAGAGACACAACCTACAGGTAGTCGCTTAAAGTTCCCTCCAACTGTTTTCTGTGATGGATTTACTCGTCTGGCACAAAGGAACCAATTTAATAACCCCAAGGGCAGCAGACGAGCCCGCATGACACTACAGATTGATTCACACAAACGTTTCACATATCTGACAGTTTTTCAAACATAATTGGACCCAGGTGTGACTTGAGCAGCATCCAATGGAAAAATCGCACAACCTGTGGCTGATTTGAAGTCCTTCCTTTGTTGGTGGAAAGGATTACAATACACAGAGCATTTTGTGGACCTCCCTAGTGTTAGCTGCGAATGACACTGGCTAAAATTAAATTGGTAGACAACATTTGTGAAACATAAACACAGACACACACACACATTTGACTGTGTGCATCTAATCCAGCTGCTTTCATCTTCCAAAGTTATTTAACTCTTTTCCTGTTTTTTCTTTTAAAATTGTGTGTGTGTGTGCGTGTGTGTGTGCGTGCATGCGTGCGTTTCATCTCAGTCAGCTTCTCTAACTCCCCTGACTCATACTGTGCCAAACTAAGCCAACAGGGCACTTTAATGAAACGTGTGTGGGCAAGCGTGTTGGTTCCATTTAGCAGTGGGTTGAATGAAATCCATGTTTTTTCAAGCATGACCACCACCTTTAAGGCAATTGACGTGTGTGTGTGGGTGGGTGGGTGGGTGGGTTTCAAGGTTACACAGTCAATGGATCAGGTCAGTTCTTAGGAGCTAATTTTTATGACTCTTTCATGGTCTAATGCACACCAAGAGACCTCTACATCAGACTGACTGAGGAGATGAGTGACTGAATGGAGAACTATTTGAAAGAAGAAGTGAATAGCTGAATAAGGATGAGTTAACAGAATTGATTGCTCAAATAAACTGACATTGCATTTTTTTATTAGTATTATATCAACTTCCATATAAGATTTTCGTAGCCAGTCCCATTATTAGTTCCTTTATATTTAAATCGTGCTGAAATACACAGGTGTCGATCACTTGGATGACCAGTGCAGTGAGATTGCTTTTGAGCAATTTAGCTATAAAACTAGTGGTTGTACCTTTAAAATCTTGAAACCAGCGTAGTGATCATTGAACACCTAAAATTAACTCTGAATAGATCAGTAGAAGTGAATGAATGTAATTTTAAAACTAAGCAACAACTTTTTAAACTAGGAATCACATGACAGTGTATGAGCAGATATAATCCTTCTAAAAACGCCATACAAAGAGATTCTGGTTTTAGAAGTGCTATCGACGGAGTCATTATAGTCACTATCCTTCTCACTGTCACCAAGTGCTTGCTCATAGGAGGTTGTTTGAATGTTGGGGTTTTCTGTGTATCATTGTAGGGTCTCTCTACCATATTTATGTACTTATTTTTTTAAACATGCATTTTTTTTCTTTATTTTGATAATCAAAATTAAATGATACTGGGTTATTTCAGTCAGGATTGAGATCAGAGTCATTTAACATAGTTACTTATTAAATTTAGAAACGTGATGCAAACTGGAGAAGAAAAAACAAAAAAAATGTTCTTCTAGAGGTAAATAAATGGGAAAGAAAATCAGGTGTTTGACACAGTGTTGTGTGGTTGGCAGTTGGGCTCAGACTAGAGGGTGTTTTTGACTGTGAAGTCAGTGTTGCTAGGCAAACACTCCAAGCTGCACACAGATCAGACAAGAGGCCCTAGCGACAGAGGACTTGCACTAGGGGTGGGTTTTTATAATCGATTTATCGATTAAAATCGATTCTGGCTTGGATAACGT